ATAAAATAATATTAAAAAGAGATTCATTAAAGATATTTTAGTAAATTTATAAATTAAATTCCATTTTTATTGTATAATTTTACATAAAAATATTTTTTTAATAATAATAATTATTAATTATTAAACATCAAATTCGGTATATTTCAACGGTTAATTTAAATATGCTTGAAAACTACTTAGAACCATGAAAGAGTAAATGAATTATTCCCCCCAAAAAAGAAAAAAAAAAAAGAGTAAATGAATTATCTTTTGTCCACTAAAATTCCCAAATCATATTTGCCTCTCTATTCTCAAGAAGAGACACATTAATAAAACACCAAAAACGTCCCTCTCGCACCCATCTTTAAACCTTTTTTTTTTTTTTTTTTTTTATCATGCCAAAAAGCTTAAACCATTTCATTGGAATCCCATTCTCCACAAAACTTCAATTTCGCTGCTTATTGTAATTTATACCCCACATATTATACTACTCCTACACTATATATATATATATATATATATAAAATTTAACTGTGGTCCAAATTGGATAATGATGCCACGCACTCGAGCCGCGACTATAAATAACTTCAATGTGTCTGCTACATCATCGCCACCTTCGTTCTTGTCTTCTTCCTATTCCGCACCTTGTAAGTGTAGCCACTTCTTCAAAATTATTTTTTTAAGTAATTTTTTTAATTTGTGTGGTAGTACAGTGATTAATAGTGTATATATTTAAGGGGTTATAATTTGTGGAGCGGAGAATTTTAGATATATAGTGATTGAGTTATGAGATTTTAGATGTGTGATTAATAGTACATTTATTATCTTTTATTATTAATTTATATGAAAAATAAAAATTAACTTTAATTTTATTAATCATTTAATTAAATTTTTTTATATAATATTAATGTTGAAATAAAATTGATTTTAATAATTTTGTGTATAAATTAATAATAAAAATATAATAAATATATTCTTAATTTATATATTAAAGGCAGGAGTTTGATAAATTTTATTTTCAATTATAATTTTTTGTGAGAAGTTTTAAAATATTCATTTCAAATAGCAAATTGTGTAAATTGCCCCGTCAAAATTTGGGATGGTATGAAATCAGCCCCACAAGAAAAATCAATATAAGATTCCCTATCTTTCAAGCACAAAATTGATTCTAATTTAATGTGCGATATCATATAACATCTTATTTTTGTCTAAAATATAGATCTTGTTTGTTTAATGGTTATTAAACAACTTGTAGTTTAGTTAATATCTAGTAGTTAATAATTATTATCTATAATTCAAACACCCCTTATTTATTATATTAAAGAACATAAATATTAATTAGTTGTTCTTTAATTGTTAAAAGAAATAAAGTTATCGAACTCAGCCTATGGGGTGGGTGAAAATGATATTGTTTATTGCTACTCAACCAAAATTTGAGGACTCTTAACTCCATTCTCCTTTCCTTTCCCCATTCCCCAAAACTATAGTTTATTAAAAAAAAAAAAGAAGAGATAGAGTTATAAATAAAATTATACAAACTCCAAAAGTTAGATATGTTAGTAAATAAGTATTTTTTGTAAGTCGAGTATAAGGTTTAAAATTTTGAATTAACACAAGATTGATATGAGAAGTGGATTTTTAAAATTGTTTAAAAAATAATTAGTTTCAAGATACACGAAATTTAATTTGTAGGTATCTAACCATAAATTCAAAAAAGTTTACACAACCTATGGTCCAGGAATGACTTAATGGTGCTTGTTGTGCTCTGACAACCACACTTACGTGTTTGGTGCTTCACATTTTAAATGTTTAATAAGAATAGAACTCACAACATCAAAAAGTTTAGAGGATGATCTCATGCATTATTAAAAGATACACTGGTTTCATATTGCCCCTTTAAAGCTTGAGAGGCAATTTAAATATTTTCCATATTTCGAAATGATTTCCAATATAGAGTGCACTACCTAATTAACTTGAGTAAACAAGACTACTGCATCATTAAGAGCTTAAGATGGATTAATTAAATCTTAATCCTTCCATTTTAGCCAAAACCAAAGCAACTGGAATACACGCGCTGTCTTATCCGAGTTTCCCCACTCCCACAGTATCAGTTTCGGACAGGACAAGAATCTACGGTCTTAGATATTTACGAAACAGAATCCAACGGCTCTGCTATCGTGCGCGGAGACGCGGAGCCGTTTTCCACCCATTTCTTCGGAACACCCCCGCCCCTTCCTTACTCCTAACCATGGTTAACTAACCATGATTACCTAACCCCCACATTGCCCACATCCACATCATTGTGTCCCCTGTTTCTCCTATTTATCTCTCTGCCTCAATTATTCCCATTCCAAGAATCCTTCTTCCGACCTATTCCGGCCCACAAATCTTGTTCTGTTCTGCCTTTGTTTCGCCGGAGATTCGATTCTGAGGTTGAGATTCTGGACGGGGAACGATGAGTTGCAATGGTTGCAGAGTTCTTCGGAAAGGGTGCAGTGAGAATTGCTTGCTTCGACAATGTTTGCAATGTTTAGACAATCCACAAGCTCAGGCACACGCCACCGTATTCGTTGCCAAGTTCTTCGGCCGTGCCGGGCTCTTGTCCTTCATTTCCTCCGTGCCTCAATCCCAACGATCTGGTAACTAATTTCATCTTTGTTAACCACTAATCCCACTGAGTATGTTCAAATTGTTTTGTCCACGAGTATCAGGCAAAGGTCGACCTTTAAGGGTGGCAGTCGTGCACTGTCTAACCAATTTGAAGTCTTGATTGTAACATTGAGGTTGTTTTTGATGAATTTGTTTTGGATTTTGTTTGTTTGGCAGCTTTGTTTCAGTCTCTGTTGTTTGAAGCCGTGGGGAGGGCGATTAACCCGGTGAGTGGAGCGGTGGGGTTGCTGTGGAGTGGAAACTGGCAAGTGTGTGAGTCTGCGGTGCAGACGGTGCTACGAGGAGGCTCGTTGCAGCCGCTTCCAGAATTTAGTGGTGGAGCTTCGATGCTGGGTTTTGATAATCTCCTGGAATCTGAGAGGAAGAGGAAGGGGTTCAGGGAGGACATGGAGAAATGTGTAGAGATTAGTCTTGGTCTTTGCTTGAACGAGGATGACAATGATAGGGCGGGGAAGCGGAGGAGAGCGGCGAGTCCCTCGTCGGAGGAATCTGAAACGACAACATCCGGCAGTGGTTGTTCCCGAGATGCTGGAAGTGAAAAAAAGCTCTTGAGACTGTTCGTTTGAGAATAAGCTCTGATTTTTCATTTTTGTTTCAAGGGAAAAAAAATATGCTAATAATCCTTCTTCAATATTTGGAGTGTTGAAGATGGATGAGTTTTGTAGGCACTTTCGTTAATAATTACTGCTACTTACCATTTTCGCAAATTTGTGGGGTTTTATATAAATGAAGAAGTGTGTATTAATTGGATTTTTTTTGTTTTTGGTACTTTAAATGAGAAGAAGTAGAAGAGATCCCCTCTCCTTTCCTTAATTCATTTATATTTGTCTCAAAATTTGAATTTAAAATTTTTTCTCTAAAATCTCATCTTTTTAAATACTCCAAGAGGTTATAATTGGATTCTTCAACATAAAGATCCCCTAAATGGAGGGAGATAGAGACTTAATTGATAGTTAGTGTTTAACGGTTCAATAAGCAGTTCAAAACGTAAAACACAAAATTTCTTATATTTTCTAAAGATTTAAATTACAAAGAAGAGTATTATGTTTTTTTGTTTGAACTACAATTGTGATGTATAGTTTGAGTATTGAAATGACTTACCATTAATGAATAAATATAAAGAATACTTTATTAAAAACATTTTAACAATTTGTTTTTTGGTTGAACAACACTTTTAATGTCTAGTCCAAGTAGAAAAAACACCTTTTTTTACAAAGAATGTCTTTCTCTGTAACAGTTATGATTTGCGGGTGCATGGAAGAAAATTGTTAAAGAAAGAAACAATCACTTGTAGTATTCTTCTAGAGTTATAAAACTACCATGCTATTTAATCAGCAAACCAACCTTCCTTAAAGTTTGAGGATATACTGCTTGTTCTGGTGAAACTGCAAGGGGGAATTTTGAATTAAAGGAGAATTATATGAACAGAATCAGCAACGTTTGGTAATGGTGTCTTTGGCTTTTGGCTACTTTAATGAGCCATTTTATTTGCAACCTTTACAAGTGATCCACTGCCAACGACGAAAAGACTCCCCACCTTGTGTTTGTCTTACATTATTTTCTCAAAATCTAGAGCTTTCGCTTTCACCCTTAATGTATATGTATAATAAATCATATACCATTTAGTGAGGAGAATTTCTACCATTCAAAATGTTATAACTTGAAAGAGGTGATCTCTAGATTGTTCGTGCTGACAAATTTTAGTGCTTGGATGATCTATAAAATATATTTCCCTATTTAAGGAAATAACAAAAAGGAAAATGTTTAGCAATCATTGATAGGGTTAGAGATGTCTCAATGTAATGTGTTGCTTAAACATAAAATTTTTAATTTAAAATTTGAGATTTCTCGTTTAAATTTTTTAAACTAGTGAAAATAATTTATTAGAGCTAATAAAGCTTAAAAGGATCTGTTTGGGTTAAAGATGAATTTTATTGGGAAGGTTTTTTCAAAGAAAATTGAGAAAATATTGTATGAAAAAATTCAAACATAAAAATTGATGAATTTTATAGTAAAATTTTGTTAAAGTTTTGTTCATTGGAAAATTTTTTTTTTTTTTTGGCCTTCGTTTGTTGGAATTGTTAACTTTTTTATATTTAATAAGGAAAAAATGGTATTGGGAAATTGAAGGAAAAGATGTCAAGTCCTTTTTTTTTTTTTGAATTGAGGAAACTTAGGGGTGAGGAAGTGAGTGCCTTGATTTGCTCCTTTTAGGAAATGGCCATTAGGCCAATAAATGATGGACGAAAAGATGTCCAGTCCTACAATAGAAAAGTTGAGAACTTTACCCTTCATTTAGTATGGTATTGAGTTGTGAAAATGTTGAAATAACCTTGAATTTTCTTATGGTTAGGGAAAAATTTATACTCTAACCAAACACACCCTTTAGAGAAGACCCACCATTTGTGGGTGTTGAACTAAGTTTGTAGAGTTTGAGCCTCTAAATCTTTAATTCAATAAAGCAATGTCTTATTGGTTATTTAATCATGAATTTTTTATTATTTCTTCTGATTTTTTTTAGTTATCATAGTTTGACTTTATATATATTTTGACTTAAAGTTTTCATATGATAAAATATATGATGATTAAAATTTCTTTTTCTTAATAATTCTTATTGGGTGGTTTCACCCATATAATTTTTTTTTTTAATTCATTCCTTTTATTACATAAAAATATCCAATTAATTCATATAAAGAACTACTACTAATACAACTAAAAAAGATGGGAGAAAGAAATACGTTATGGTAGAAAGTAGAAACATATCTATAGTTGGAGGGGCGAAACTAGCATTAGCTATCCATCTTGTCAGATAAAAATTTCATATCCTCCAAGAACTAGAAGTCTAGAGCAATAACGTACAGATAAGTTTTCATGAATCCTCTTAATGGATGGATTATGGATTGTCTAACCTCAGAATCACAAGTACTGGCTCGTAATGTTAATATGGTCATGGATTTTGTTGGTTTCGGCCTCTTTGTGTTTTTGGCCTCTTTGTGCGAAGCAACAGCCACACAAAGGGTCCATCATTGAGGTTAAAAACTTAAAATCAACTTTGAGCCCCTCATCTTATAAAATTAGTAGGTTTTAGCTCATAATCTTATAATATGACATTTTTAGCATTTTACCTTACAAAGTTGGTAGGTTTTAACCATTTACCTTACAAAATTAGTAGGTTTTAGCCCATCATCTTATATTATGACACTTTTAGCCACTTATCTATGTGAATTAAAGAAAATAGCTCTCATTTAATATTAGGTTATAATGTTTTGTTAGTTCTGTTAGTTGACTGTCAGTTTTGTTAGTTAACTGTTAGTTCTGTTAACTGACTGTTAGTTAACTGTTAGTTCTATTAGCTGACTGTTAGCACCCGTTAACATTCTGTTAATGGAGTTAACAAATAAAATTGAATTTAAATTTCATATTTTCTATAACAAAATGCTAATGGATGTTAAAAGTCAGCTAACGGATATTAACAGTCAGTTAATAGAATCAACAGGATGTTATAACCTAATATTAGGTGGGAGTTATTTTCTTCAATTCGTATAGGTGAGGGGCTAAAAATGTCATAATATAATGTGAGAGGCTAAAACCTACCAACTTTGTAAGGTGAGGGGCTAAAATCTACCAACTTTGTAAGGTGAGGGGCTAAAATGTCATATTATAAGGTGAAGGACTAAAAGCTACCAATTTTATAAGATAAAGGGTTAAATGTTAGTTTTTACCCCATTATTGATGTATCTTTGCAAGTGCAAATGGATATCTACGGTTCGTCGCATCACTAAATAAAGGACCTCAATCCTGCCTTTCTCTATCCAATGGCCTTTGCATCAAACTAAAAACACAAAATTAAAGAAAATTTTGGAATCTATCAATTTTCAAGTGATGATGAAAGTATTGTAACATTCTTTCTTCTTTTTTTTTTTCTCCTCAGGTAGTTAATTGTGGGGAAGGAGTATTTTATAAAGTTCCAAAGATCCCCAACCTAGGGTTGTTTTTGGCCGGAGAGAAAATTCCCCCCAATTTTTACCTTTATTTACTTATTTTTACACCTTAATCTTTTTTTGGTATTAAAGCTCTTATATTTGAAAATTATATTAGATTTTAACTACTTTAGAGTTGAACTCGATT